CGTTTATTCAACAGTTTTAGTCAATTTAACGGTCAACTAACGGTCAACTCTTTTTCTGTTCAGTTTTTTTTATTAAATTTTTACTGAACTGAGACCCGCAATGTATTTTCAAACAACAAAATCAGGAATTGAACTCTGTGAAAGATATTAAATTCAAAGAAGTTGAAACCTATTTGTTTTGAGACCATAAAGAAAACTATGGTGCCATAGATGAGTGATGCTGCAAAAAGGAGCGGGAAGAGCAATGCCCCCATCTTCAGTGGTGAAGAACGGCAATAACGACGCAAGAAATTAACGGAATCGATATGATAATTTCCATATAATCCTAGACGAGGGTAAAATAAGAAATTAATGAAATTTTGCTCTAAAAATAACAAAAATACTCTCTATTTATCAATTTCAACATTGTTCTAGATGATGATGAATGCGTGCAAAGGAAAGAAATTTTAGGGTAATTTCAAAATTCCTATTGTCACCGTTGCTGAACCTTAACTAGTACTCCTTCCATTTTTTTTAATATGTCTTTCTAGAGAAATCATCGAAACCAAGAAAGCATTAATTAGTGTGGTTAAAATACAAAAATACATTTATTTATTGTCTATACAATTCATCACAAACCAATAGAAATTTATTACAAATACTGCTTTATTTCTAAGGAAAGGGTAATATTAGTAAAAAGTAGTCAAATATGCCTCAATTTGTGAAAACAACATATATTTAAAAAATTCACCAAATCCTAAAACGACATATATTTCACAATGGAGGGAGTAGCAATGATATTAATTATACTAAAGTTTCATTTCTTATTACATAATAAAACATTGAAAGCAATGATATTAATGGTGCAAGGAATTTGAGGCGGATAGATTTTTCGGTAACAATAATAAATTGCTTTTTTTTTAACAGAAAAAGAAAAGTCAGAAGGAAGTTCGGGTTCTAGCTGACTCAAAAACACTCAAGGGGTATACCCAAGAGATGAATTTTTGAGTCAGTTATAGCCAGATGATATAATGCACCTAAGGAGTATACCCAAGGGATGGACATACATATCATCCAGTTCCTTAGCTTCCTTTCTACCTCATATTTTATTGCATTTCAATAAAAGATGCTAAGGGCAGAGTATGTTCTAACCCAAAGCAAGTACAATAAATAAAATCTCATCAAACTCATCTACGTATATAAGGGAAGGACTGTTGATCTAAAATCAAAAGCCCTTTTACATAAGATGCTAGTATAGAAAATGAATTGTAAATCATCGAGTTCCCATGTGAAGCATCCTTAGCTAAAGTATCAGCAACTGAATTCCCTTCTCTATATATATGAATAATAGAGTAGGCATTGCGATCAATAACAGAACATATCTCCTCCAATTCCAAGTAAAACTTCCAAGGAAATATGATATGCTTAGTAATGATCTCCGCTAGCAACTTATTATCTGTCTGAACCACCACAATAATAAATTGCTTTAGTATGTTAATGTCTTTAATATGTTTGGTTTTTTCTTTTACTCTTTTATGTCTCTTTTTTTTTTTTCTAAATCTACCCCAGTAAATCCCACTTAAATACGTGTAAAACCGACTTTACATACTCCTTAGTGGGAATTGAACCCAAGACTAATTAAGATATACTACTATAACAGTTTCCCGCCTAAAAAGTACACGTGACAAGACGATGTTAAAAGTTACCCCCCCACCTCCCGAAATGTACTAAGTTAGGTTGTTGGAAAGTGTCCATTTTCGCTGAAAAAAAAAAGTTAATGTCTAAATCCTAAATTCAAGATTGGTCAAACTTTTTTGCATTGTTCGTTGTGCAATGTTTATGGTCAAATATTTAAAATTGTATTTCCAATGTTAAATTTACCTTTTTCATCAATATTTATCGTTAAATGAAATTACTATTTTCAGTATTGACTACACATTTTTATTAAAATGAATGTTATTGTTCTATGAAGTATTTTTCAAAGTCAAATAATTTTTGTCTTTAATTATGTGAAGTGTTAATGTTTTTGTTAATTTCATGATTATTCATCATTAATTTCTGTTATGATTGTATGGTTTTCATCAATGGTCAAATATGTTTAGCATTTGAAAAATAACTTAATTATGTGTCAAACTTTTAAAATTCATTTACAAATGTAGATTTTACACTTTTTAAGCATCAAACATATTGAGGTTTATCATAAAATCGAGTCTCAAGACAAAATTTGTTTTGAATGAGATAAAAGTAGGATTTCAATGGTATTGTCATTGTTGTAATATGCATTACATGTTACAAATTCATGATTTCAAAGTTAAATTGATTGATATTTTCAATTTAATTTATGTTTACAGGATAGAAGATTCATACAATTTCGTTGAAGATGTGAGCCTTTTGAAATGATTGCAGTGTGAAAGTTTTTTCCCCAAAATGTACTAAGTTAGGTTATTGGCAAGTGTCTCTTTTTGCTAAAAAAAATTAATTTCTAAAAACTAAATTCTAGATTGGTCCGAATTGCATTGTTCGTTGTGCAATATTTATGGTCATATATTGAAAATTATAGTTCCAATGTTGAATGTACTTTTTTAATCAATATGTATCGTTAAATTTATTGACATTATTATTTTCAGTATTGACTGCACATTTTTCTTAAAATAAATGTCATTGTTCTATGAATTATTTTTCAAAGTCAAATAATTTTTGTCTTGAATTGTGTGAAGTATTAATGTTTTTGTTAATTTCTTGATTATTCGTCATTGATTTCTGTTATCATTATATGGATTTCATCAATGGTCAAATATGTTTAGCATTTCAAAAATAACTTAATTATGTGTCAAACTTTAAAATTCATTTTGCAATGTAGATTTTACACTATTTAAGCTCAAACATATTTATTATACTAATGTTGTAAAAAGAAGAGTGAAATGTAATATTGTTAATGTATTGCATTATCTATATTGTATATTTTATGAATTTTCAATATCACCTTTTATCATTTCCTATGTCGTATGGATTTTATAAAATTAACATAAAAGTTAACCTCATTGAAATCAGTTGGCATCAAATTTTTGGTATTTGGTTAGAAAGAAAAAAATGTTATTTTTCGCTACATGCACATATTCATTTGCACCACATATTAGAAATTTATGAATTGAAAGTTACTTACGACTTAAGTATGTATTTATATTTAATTTATGAACTTGCGAATTTTATTGAAGATGTGACCCCATTAAAAGGTAACTGCAGATTGAAAATTCGAATCATTAATATCTCTAGGGTTATGATTAAGAATTTGAATTATTTTTCTTTCCTGTTGACATGATTTCATTAATAGAGATCTATGTATGTATAACTTAATTAGAATAAATGATTGTATGCAATGATATTTCATATTACAACTTAAATGTTCTTATAAATCTCTTAATATGTGTTGAAGGAAACAAAATTCAAACTTCTATGAGAAAGAATATTTGGCCAAAATTTTAGAATACAATTATTTAAAGGGGTGTTGTATTCATCACTAAATTTAGTATTACGAAAAATAATGTGAGATGCAAAATTGTTGGTCATCCATTAATTAGTGTCACATGTACCGATTTATAATCATTGTTTTTAGTCACTTTCCTTTTGTAATATAATATGAATTAGATAGGAAATGTTAGTTATAACTAATTTTTGTACTTTCTTCTGATCGAGGGCTAAATTGCAAAATAATGAAAAAAGCAGGTAACAATCAAGGACGATTGAATTAAAAATGCAATACGGGAGAGACATTCCAGGACCAGTTCAGAAAAAGGTTTCTAGGCAATTTTAGGACGAATTTCTTGGCCTTCATTACTGTATTTTTGGAGCAAACTGTAGAGGCCAAGGAATAGCCTATCCTAGGTGGCTGTTGTGGTCGTGAATAATAAGCAAACGAACAAGATGGAGCAGTTGGAATCACGCCTGAAGGTCCAAGCTGAGAAACAACGTCCAAGATTCCCTTGAAAATGGGATTTCAAGCTGAATTTTAACAGTAATCGTGGGTTCCTGCTGCCTAAAAAATAAGAAGTGATGACCATTTACAAAGGAGGCGGAGAGGAAGCGTAGTTTAGTGTAGAGAGTTTAGGGTTTAGTTGGGTAGAGAGTTAGAAGAGAGTTCTGCAACAAAGTTTCTTAGGGAGTTTTACAGAAACAAACACTCAGATGAGTGGCATTCCAACTGACTTGAATGGTCTATTGTTCTGCAAAAACTTGCTTTTTTAGCTCTCTGTTTGCTTTCTCTTGCCTTGTAATCATGTTTTATGATAATTCTACATGGATTTTGTGTTTAAAATACAAATTCTGAGTATTAGGTTTTTTATTGGGGTTAAATCCCTCTTTTTATGTGAAAATACTTTAGATTTGCATTCGAACGATGTAAACATGCCAATTATAGTCTGTGAATTAACCTTGAGTATAGTTTGATCAACTAAGGGAATCCCAGAATGGTAAACTATTTTAGAACGACTAAAACTGACAAGTAACTTAGAGGTAACAGTCAAAGGTTTCAACCAGAATTAGAATCTTGAAAATTATGCGCATGATATTTTGAATCTGCAGGGTACCTTTTGTCTAACAAATGAAGAGTTAATTTACAAGTCAGAAAAATTTCATCTATGAATTTGGACGACGAATGTTTATGGTAAATGGGAGTGGAGAAAAACGTACAAGACCGACTTGGGAGTTCGTATTTCCATGAAAGATAGTGGTTTGTTTCCACATCCTTACTGGATCTTTGGCAAAGATCCATTTTTCTGTTCCCAAATTATCTATTAATGGTGATTTTATCATTTTAGGGGATGGAAGCAATCAATATTTCTTATTCAATCCTGTTGAGAAAAAATGTTTAAGAAATTGAGTAAATCATTTGTGGAGGCAAATCATGTTAAACTATCCATACGATATTTTTGAAAGAGTTTAATTTCAATTTGAATATATATATATATATATTATTGATAAAATTTTGTTAAAAAAAAGAGTAAATGTAATATTATTAATGTATTGCATATTGTTAAATAATATAATAATGTGTGTATATTGTAAAATTTATTGTTCTTATAAATTTCTTTTAATCATCTTCATCTCTGTGATTATATCTCTACCATCAATACATAATTCATGCAAAATTTTAATACAATTATAAAACGATGAATGGTACAAATTTATCTGAAGATAAAATTGTTCATTGATATTTATACTATTATTATATCTTGTATTTAAAAAATTGACTATAAAAAATATGTAAAAAATAAGTTTTTTTCAAAATATCAAATTTCGGTTTAATCGGTACCGGTTCCCGGTCAAACCGCGGTTTTATCCGGGTTTGATCGAGTTTGACCAGTTTTTAACTCTACCGGTTATTAATTAAAATCGGACCGGAAAGGCCTCAAATTTCTAGTTGAACCAGTTCGACCGCCCAGTCCGGTCCGATTTTCAAAACACAGAATAAAAAAGTTCACAAAAAAAAAAGAAAGAAAAATCACGGGCATTGAATGATGTTCATTGATCAAATTACCGTCACCCCTTAATTAGTTGACACTTGTAACCATTGTTTCTATCTCGTGGAAAAAATTTTCCATGGCAAACTCGGGCAAGTCAATTGGAACCACGACACCATGTTGTCCTTTAAGATTTCTCGCCCGGATATAAAATGTAGACAAGCCGGGGATATAGTTCTTGACCGGCCCAGCGAAAACGGGTCTGCCCCACCCAAAATCCACCTCATCGAAACCCATCCTTCTCGCGTCTGAAACCGCATAAAACGATGCCAATGAGATGATAGGCGGCGTGTCCGGAAGTACCATGTCGGAGGCCGACTTAATGGACATCTTCCTGGACTCAACCTTGGACTGCATCACCAGCTTCACGGCGTGCTCGAACGAGTTGTCGGCGATCATCTTTCTGGCGGTTGTCCGCACCATGGCTGTCTTCACGACGTTCCCATAGTACCCTTGTGGTAGAGGCGGATCAAACAGTTGACGGGCATTCACTGCGTAAAGCAGTGCCACTTGCTCATCTGAGTCGGGTTTGAGGGCGACCGTACGACATCGCCAGATAGCGGCTGTGAGGATTTCAAACGTGGAGCACTTACTTTGAAGGTGAGCTGGGAGAGAAGCCCGGATTGCAGAGATCTCAGTTTGGCCCAAAAACAAGCATCGATGGACCAAGTGGTCTAAGTGGTGGGGTATTATTAAGGTTCTTATTGTGTTTGCTACGACATCGGTTTCGTGTAGTACACTAGGAGGTGCACTGGAAGACGGGTTTTCCGCGACCAGGAGTTCCCTTTCCCACACCGGGTTTACAGATGGAGCAGAGGCCCCTCTAGCTATTTCCGCCAGGGCCTTTTGAAATTGAACCAATCCAATGCCATCGGTCATGGTGTGGTTGAAGCGGAGGCCAAAGGCGAATCCGCCGCATCGGAATTTCGTCACCTACCAAGTTAAGAACGCTGTTATTTGTCAATGATTCATTCATTAAGTAATTGGTCTAACTACTGAGTGTGTTAACTTATAATTCAGATTTTTTAGGCTCTTCTTAAAGTAAATCATTATCTTCTCTAATCAAACACAACCAAGAAAGGAAAAAATAAAAAAAGAAAAACCCCATCTCTGGCCCGATTTGGATTGTCTCTGGATACGAAAAATATATTCTTCCTTTGTTGAAATAATTTAAACTAAAAATAAAAAATTTAAAGTAAATCATCATTTTTGGTTACGGATAGATTATACATTTGTCTTTTTGGTCAATACAATGAAGGAGGCTAATGCCTAGAGTACTAGAACAATAAACAATCATATTTTCTAGAACTATCCACAGTAACAATGACACTCTATTTTTCAATTGTTTCTAAAGACCAACTTGTTCTCTCTCTCTCCCTTTTTTTCCCGGTAATTAATCCTGAAATTTTTTAGTCAAACTGCCGTATTGGACTAAAACCGAACAAAACAACACAATTGAAACTAAAACACAACCAAGTACATGAATCGCATAACTAACCTGGATAAGAAGCAAAGGTGAATGGAGAATAGCATCGGAGCCTGGAACATTAAACAATAGTTCCTCCAAGCAAGGAAATGGTGGATGTAGCTCCTCCGCCAACTCTTCCAATCCCAAATCAGCGTTTGCCTCAATGAATAAGGCACCTTCCCCAGTGCATTCCACCGCCAGCTTCTTTTGAGGCCCAACTTCTCTAAGCCGCCCTGCGAACGGGTAGTAAAACACTAAAGTCTCCGCCAGAGCCGCTTTAATGACCTTCACTGGGTCGTCTTCCTTGGCAATGATATTATCATCACTTATCCATTTTCTTTTACTGTAGAAATGCAAGAGGGACAAGTGAGTGCAGAGACCTTGCTGATCATCCACGTCGGCTAATAGTTTAGTTTCGTGTGGCGTCGGCCTCGCCGGACGAACCAGAGTTGGCCTCTGCCTCCTCACCGTGAAGCTCCTAGCCAACGTCGAAAACCATCTCATGTTGTTATTAGTTATTATCACTATAATTTGTAGAAAGAAAGGAAGTCCTAATTGACGTGATAGGATTTAGGAAAAGAAAATATAGTGCTAAACTGCTAATATTTATCCGGAGAACGAAGACGAAGAAGAAGTCATAATGTTACATCAAACACCAGCTAATCATCTGACTATTATATGCCATGTTATAATGCATAAAGTAGATGACTATGACTTTTTGTTTTCTTTAATTTATATTTAATACGCGCATCCAACTTGCAGTAGCTGTAATCTATCGTCAGATTGGACATAGTGTGTTGAACATATATATTCTTTTATCTCTTTAGTGCAAAAAATATTCATTAATTTTGCTGGAAGTTTTCCAGTGACAACAAAAGTAATGGGGGATAAATACTATCACTCCTACATTAAAAAGCAGTATAATTTTAATTTGAATCTAAAAAAACTGTAACATTGTGCTCTCTATTTTACTGCAGAAAAACTTATTGTCAAAAGTAACTTGGGATCCCATTTTAAAATGGGGTGGAGTGTAACTTGAGCTCTTATGTCAAAATCAATTGGCAATGAATGTGATGCAACTTGAGATCCAACCTCAAAATAATTCGACAATGAGTGGGACAGTTCATGGAGCTTGTAAAGAGGTGTCCAATGAGATTGCAAATCACAACACAATTCACAAGTGAACTACTGGGTCATTTCATGTTGGTTAAATTTTTTTTTTACTACAAGATTTAGTTAGATAAATAAATTTCAAATTAGAGTTTCAGATTTGTTTAGATTATTTTGGTTCAGATTAGTTTATGATATTTTTAGAGGTCCTTTAGGGATTGAAGAGAGTGTTTTTCTGTTTTTGGTTATTGTAAGATTTGTTTATAAATTAGACTTCTCCGAAGTAAAATGTAACCCTCTTCTGATAAAAATTTTATGTTCCAAAAAAATCTCTACTCTCTCTTTCACAACAAAGTGGTATCAGAGCTTAGGTTCAATTTGGGGGACCTGTGTGAGTGAATCAGTTAGGAACTTTCCATATAAACAATTTTTTTTAGCTAATCTTCTTTTATCAATGGAAGGAGGGAATAATTTCATGTCTGCTCTTCCAGTTTTTAAAGGAGAAAATTATCATATTTGGGCTGTGAAAATAGAAGCTTATTTAGAAGCAAATGGATTATGGGAGTTGGTGAAAATGATGTGTTTCAACCACTTCCTGAAGATCTAACAGTTGCACAAATTAAAGAATTCAAGGAGGCAAAAAGAGGATGAACAAAGCCAAGACCTGTATTCACTCTGCTGTGTCAGAAGAGATGTTCACAAAAAACATGGTCTGTAAGACTGCGAAACAAGCATGGGATATCTTGAAACAAGAATATCAGGGCAATGTGAAGACAAAGCGAATGCATATCTTGAATTTGAAAAGGGAATTCGAGATGTAGAAGATGTTGGAGACAGAACCATTGAAGGACTACACAGATCAATTGATGAAGGTAGTCAATAGAATCAGACTTTTGGGAGAACAACTTCCTGATAGCCAAGTTGTTGAAAAAATATTGATGACTTTGCCAGAAAGATTTGACTCCAAGATTTCATCCCTTGAAGAAACTAGAGATTTATCAGAAATATCTCTAGGGGAACTACTTGTCAAAGTATATAAGTACTTTGGGCTCCCATCTCAAAACTAATTAGCGATGAGTGGAGTGGCCTTTGGAACTTATATACTAAGTCACTTCTCTTCATAGTGGCCATGTGGGATAGATTATACACCTTAACACCCTTCCGCAAGTCCAATGGGTCTTTGAACTTTTTGCCCAATGGACTAGGATCAGGACAAAAACAGAATAGTTCACGAGTCAACGCTGAAGTGGGAGAAAGTTAGTTATACCGCTGGATCGGCTCACGACAAGCCCACGAATCAACGCTCAATTGAAAGAAAAGCCCAGTTTATATCGCTAGATCGGTCCACAACAAGCCCACGAGTCAATTCTCAAGTGGGTTAATATAAAATCACCACAGACCACCTTTGGCCAAGAACTCCACCACAGGCCCAGACCGGTATGATACCATGTCAAAGTATATAAAAACTTTGGGCTCCCATCTCAAAACCAATTGGCAATGGTGGCCTTTGGAACTTATATACTAAGTCACTTCTCTTCACGGTGGCGATGTGGGATAGATTATACACCTTAACACTACTTTCAACTTTTGAAGCTCAAGAGCAAAGAAGAGTTTTCAGAAAGGAAAAATTAGATCATTTCATTGAGGGAATTTATAAAGTGGACCAAATTGGTAAAGGTAAAGGGTGGACCGGTAAGGTAGTTGGAGACAGCGACAACAAAGGAAAATATCCTCCTTGTAAACATTGTAAGAAACCTTCTCATTTGCTACAGTATTGTTGGTTTTGACTTGATGTTCAATGCAGGGGTTGTAAACAAATGGGACACAAGGAAAAAGTGTGCAGGAACAAGGAACAAATTAATTTTGTGAATCAAGAATATGAAGAAGAAGATGAAAATGAAAATGAAGACTTGGTTTGAAGATGCAGGGATTTGCAGTAAAAAAAAAAGGAGGAAATTTATTGGTTAAATTTTTTTTACTGCAAGATTTAGTTAGATAAATAAATTTTAAATTAGAATTTCAGTTTTGTTTAGATTATTTTGGTTAAAATTAGTTTTTGAGATTTTTCGAGATATTTTAGGGATTGGAGAGAGTGTTTTTCTCTTTTTGGTTATTGTAAGAGTTGTCTAAATATTAGACTTCTCAGAAAATAAAATGCAACCCTCTTCTGATAAAAATTTTACGTTCCAAAAAAATCTGCTCTTTTTCATCTCTTTCCCAACAGTTCATAACCCCAAATATACTGTAAGGTCAGTCCACAAGCTCCCGTACAAAACGGGTCCACAGGTCGTGGGCTCTGATACATGTCAAAAATAACTTGGACTTCCATCTCAAAATCAATTGGCATTGAGTGAAGTGGTTCAATGAACTTATAAAAATATGGCAGATTTTTCACTGGGGCAATGTGAAATTTTCTTTTCCTATATTTATCATGATCTATCTAGTAGTATATATGGGTTTGCGGGTGTATAATGAAGAAAATGAACTTTTGGCCTCAAATGTATTCCAAGATACTTACCATGAAGGTCTGTGGCAGCATCGAAAACCATCTCATGCTGTTATTGTGACTCAAATAAATTCCTAGAATAAGAAAGGTCATTGGAGAACAAATTGTTTACCTAATTGATGTAATACATAGTAGTTAGAAAAAATTGTGGTGCTAATATTTATTTATAAGAAAGAAGAAGAGGAAGAAGAAGCAGACATAATGTTACATTAGTTCCCAATCTAACCATCGGACTATCATTTGGCGATGTTCCCTTATAATGGTAAAAATAGTTGACTAAGAGTTATATTTCAAAAAAAAAAGTTTCAATCATCATCTGAAGGTAATTACGAAAAACCAAACAATCGTTAGGTTTGCCCACAATCTCTGTAGGCTTTGGTGATCGATACCCTTTTCGATACTAAACATGTCCAGAGCGCATCATATCATCAAATATGGCCTCTTGTTAACTAATATCAAAGGAGGACACTTAGGCTTGAGCAGCATTATCAACGGGCTTTGTAGTAATAGTACCAAATGGACCAGAAGTGTATGTTCGTGGAATAGAAGGCCCTCGCAGAGCATCGCATGTATATTCTTTAAGATTTATAATCTTCATGGTGTTGACACTATCCGAAAGTTGTTCGTCTTCATCAGAGGAACTCCAATGCACCTGGTTGACTTCGGCAATGGGTTCCTTAATGAAACATGACTTAGGTTTAGTAGGTACATAAGCATATATGATCAAAGCTGCAAACTTTGCAATGGACCAAATGAAATAGCAGAACATTTGTTCTTCAGTTGTAACTACTCTACAGTGCCGATGCAGAAAGTCCAAGACTGACTGGGAATAAGGGGTGATATTTTAAGCCTGAATCTGTCGCATATCCTGAGAATTTGGAAGTTTAATGGAGGCAAAGGGAGCACACTTTATGCCAGTCTAAACGCCGTGATCTATCATATTTGGAGAGGAATGGAATGCTGAAAGAAGAATGCAACTGTTGCAGAATGATATCAAAAAGAAAGGTTAAAACCAATGTAAAAAGCTGAAACTAAGTGATGTGAGATTTCTAGAAGGGCTAGGAATCAAAAATAATGTAGGAGGAAGGTTGTAAATATGGTTTGTACAGTGATTTGTTGATGAAGTAATACAACATTTACATTTTATCAAAAAAAAAAGGTCTGGCTTCTCGTTTTGCTTTAAGGACTTTCTCTGTGTTATGCACAATTTCTGTTAGTTGCGTTAAGAACGTATAGGATGTGGTGTCACCGCCAATTCGACCTTAGAATCTTTATACCTGATGTAGCCAATTTAACTATAGTCAATTCTTCATATTTGCCAGAAGTGGCACCAGGTATCTTAGCATACATTTGTCGAAACCAGTTAAGGTATGCCTCCCGTTTCTCTTGCTTTCTGCTGAACTTGGGATAAGTCTATGATGGATAACCGAGAGCAGTACGATGAAAATTACGAACAAACATCATTTTCTGAGTACCCCAATCAGGCACGGAGCCAGGCTCTAAAGTTCGGTACCAATCCATTGAAATTCCAGCTAAAGAATAAGGAAACAATCATAGTTTAAGCAAGAGATAGTGGCCCACTTCACCGCATTCCTCAAATCGTCCAATATGATCTTCTGGACGCTGGTCACCTTCTGAAGTGATCTTCTTAAAATCTTGCATCTTAAAATGTCACAACAATGGCTCAAACTCCACATATTCAGGATAAGGCTTTCTGACAACCTCAAGAGTTTCAAAGCCTTGCTTTTTTCAGACCATGTCCTCCAGCATTGACTTTAGTCCTACTTCAGTAGTAAATATGTGTCCCGTATCCTCTATTTCTAGAGCAAAACCTTCCTTTCGAGAATCCCTATCGGTCTCCTGATAAAATTGTGTTTCCTGTTGATTATCTCGTAGGGGAACTCTAGTGTCTCTGCGTCGTGCATTATTTCCTGCCCTGGCTCTATTCTACGCCTAGTTTTCTTTGTACTCAATCCATTGTTGTTCCTCTAACATCTCTTTTACAGTAGGAACTTGTCTTAGTAAGTTTCAAACGGTGAGATTTTTGTGAAAATGTGAGATTTTTGTGATTAATTAAAATCAACAATTTCAAAAGGTGAGATTTTTATGAAAACCCCAAGTCATTGTGCTGCATTTTATTCGATCCTCTTGCTCAAAAAAGTTTCACCATGTTGGATCTTTAAGCTTAAATTTGTGTGTGAAAAACCAAAGCGAGAGCTACCGGCAAGGTGTGGGAGAGGCAGTGGATGAATTAGTTACTACCTACCGGA